TCATAATTAGTCGAAATTTAAGAAAAATACTAGATTAATTGTCGACCTCTGCATAAAATTTAAATTTAACCGGCATCAATCATTCATTTCGGTTCTATTGTGTCCCTCCTTGTCTCTCTTGATACACGCTGGCGTTGCAGGACCGGAGTTCAGATTTATAAATAGTAAATAGTTATTCTAGTTTTTAATAAAGAAATTGCCTTTTATACTATTTTGTGATGCTAAAACAAAATTGATTTTATGTAATTATTGTGGAATTCGTTCAAATTGTATTTTTGCCTATTGTTTTATCACAAAAATCGAGATATTTTTAGAATAGTTAATAGCGTTTAGTTGAAATGCAGACTTGGCTCGCTACTTGAAATATACCATTTGAGTTCTCCCAATTAATACACATGAGAAAGAAGAAATTAGGCTGCGATTTTCCGTAAGTCATATGTACCCCCTCCCTAGATACACACGTGTCCCATTCAAGTATTGACTTGTTTTGAATGTACTCACAATGTACTCTCAGTTCGCTGTTGTTTAGTACATCTACGTACGGCATTTGAGACACAAGTGAAGGTAGTTTTTTATTGTTGTCACGGTGATTTTTGTAGTGTTAATTAGTGAAAAAGACAAGCAAAATATGGAAAGAGATCTCAGAATAAGTAAAAAAACAGGACTTTTTTTAAGTGCGAAGAGAAAGAAGCATAGAAATCTTGAAAAATATAATTTGTAAGTATCTGAGTACCAATTTATTTCCGCTTATTTTGAATTAGTTTATTAAGAGTTATTTTGGTTTACAAAATTAAAAGTATTTTTGGCTTTACTCTGTGATTATAAAGAAACTAAATTTAAAAGCATTTTAATCCGACCAATTAATATCTGTATTCTAAGAGAAAATATTTACAATTTAATGCAGAAATGTCACAGTTACTTTATGTGTATCTTTTTTCTTTAGAGCCAGACGTGCAGGTCTTCCGTATTTAACAAAAGATGTCGTCGTTAATTCGGTTGATAACCAGGTTCATATTTTGTAAGTAGACAAAACTTTTAGGTCATTTATTTTTAAACTTATGGGTATTAAACATTTTGTGTATATATATAGGGTGGATCGATATCTCAGAAACCAGATGTAGAAAAAATTTAATAAACCTAATGGTGTTTTTCACTGGCACCGGCAATGCACACTGATTATACATGTATCTTTGTCTATCAATACGGAAAAGAAGAAAGTGAGAAAACACTCAGTGTCAGTGCCAGTAAAAAACACCACGAGTCTAAGCGTTTTTGACACATTTAAATTTTTGTGTCAAAAATGACGTTTTATAACCCTAATATGTCAGAAACGCTTAGACCTAGGTATAAGACATAATTCAAATAATGTGCCTAAAATATTGAGTAATTCCAAAAATATTAGGGTGTCGTATTTAAAATAAGCCACTTAAGATCTATTTGCGGTACAACCGATGGTGCCCAATACATTCAAACATTTTAGCTAAATAGGACCCAAGACAACTAGCAAGTGTCCAAATTTTGACATTTTTCCTACAACTAGTTACTGAGATATCGATCGATGCAATTCCTGGGGGCCCACCCTATATATTACTTTTAATTAAATTGCCGTACAAACTTTTCGAAAATTAACATATTTGGTGTTTCGGTGTTTATCAGCCCCCGTGATATGGTTATAATGATTTAAAAAAAATGTCATGTCATTGCTAATAAATAAAGAGCGAAATATATGCAGAATGAATATATATATATATGCATTTTTTGCATATTTTACCAAAGTTCAGAAAATATTGCATATTTCACTAAAGTTCAGAAAATTTGAGAAAATATTGCATATTTTCGAAAAAAAAAAATGTATTACTATGCTGTGCAAATTAGAAATTGTTTTAACAGAATATGGAGATATATTTGAAATAAAGACCTTTTAAATTTTTAGATTTGTTTTTAAGCGTAACTTCTTGTAAATTAGTTTTTACGGGTTGGCATACACCGGGTTTTTACCTTCGTAACACTTAATTCAAGACAAGTGACAGCGGTACATTTTTAAATCTAACAAACGTTTCCTGAAGTAATTAAGCAAAAAATAAAAGACTTTATTAAGCGTTTTAGGTTCTAAATATTATAAAGAATGATGAAAAGTCCATCATTTACTTTGAATGCATATTTTTTTTAAAAACGGATATTTTAGAATGATTTAAAAGTTATGGACTTTCCATCATTTTTTATAATATTTAAAACCTAAAACACAAAATACAATCTTTTATTTTTGCCTAATTACTTAAGGAAACGTTTCTTAGATTCAAAAAATTTACCGCTGTCAGTGTCATTGGGTTAAGTCTTAAGAGATTAACCCCATTAACGTAATTGTTTTTGGATTGGTATAATTGTTATTGGATTGGTATAATTGTTATTGGATTGGTATAATTGTTATTGGATTGGTATTTCCACGCACAGATAAAGTATTACTTACAATGCAATAAAACGGTTTATTAAAAATTCCCAGTAATTTCTTGAAAACAATTTACCCGGATCGGTGTTTTTAATAGAAAATTTCAAAAAAATATTTAATTATAAATTCCTATTATAATATTATTAGTTGAAATTTTAATTTTAAAAATTACTTTGTTCTGGTATCGTTTTAGAGAAAATCCTATATATTTTTAATTAATTTTATAATGTATTTTTATACATCCTATGCTTAACTTCTTATATACAGGGTGTTTTCTAATCTCTGACAAAAGAAAGGAGGAGAATTCTCACCTAATTTTAAGACAAAAATGTACTATAACAATTTTTAGAATGTCGCTTTGTTTTCGAAATACAGGGTGTTAAGAAAATTAAAATTTGATGCGTTTTCTTTTTATTATTAATTAATGGCAAACGATAGTCCAGTGATATTTGGTTAATCTAATCACGTTCTATCAAGTTTTTGACATTTTATGAAATTAAGAAATGGGTATTGAAGTAAAATAAAAAAAAATATCTTGATTGATTTTAGTGGGGAAAATGAAAGCAATTTTGACATTGCCGAAATGCCGGCCACCTTAGCGGATACAGCTTTACATCATGACTCTCAAGATGGAAGCCTGTAAGTTAAATATGAACAAATTGCTACAGGAAATATATATTCTTTTTATATTTTTAGATCGAGCAATGGTGAGAAAGGAAATAATAGCCACGAATTGTTCAGAAATGATAACAGTCTGTTGGAAAGTGGAGAAAAGTAAGATATTAATTAATTTATGAAAAGTAGTTTTTTTACGACATTAGAAATTCAATCACTAAGGCTTAGGGTAAAAATCAACTTATTAGTATGTAGTATGTTTTCACTAGTTAAACAATAAGTAATTTAGGTAAATTAAATGGACGAGTATTTGAATCCTTCCTACAAATATTACAATTATAATTAGGTTAAAAGTGAAGATCATACCAAGGTAGATGTTTTGCTGCCGTTGTTGCTAAAAACACCAGAAGGCCGCTGTTTACTGTTTACAAGCATTTGCTACATGGACGTAATGCACATTTTAATATATTTAATCATGAAACTAGATTAAAAAATAAATCAGAACGAAAAAAGGGATTGAAAAGGCGTAAACAAATATTTTCTACTATAGATACAAATTATGGACAGGAATGCAAAAAACCAGATATTGATAAGGCTACTTTTGATGCACTACAGAAAGAATATATAGCTGATTTAGAAAAGAGTGAAGAAGAATTTGTTGAACTAGAAAAAAGAACAAAACTACAAGCAGACTCTGCAGAATGGCTGCAAATAAGAAAGAAAATTTTAACTGCATCCACATTTGGCCAAGTTTGTAAAATGCGTCAAACAACAGGCTGTAATTCAATAGTTCAAAATATATTGTATAAAAATATTTGTACAAAAGCGACTGCTTGGGGCAAAAATAACGAAGATAGAGCGAAAGGGGTCTTTGAAAGAAAATATCCCAATTTAAAGATTTTAGACTGCGGAATTTTTATCAATAGTCAGTGGCCATTTTTAGGAGCTTCTCCAGACGCAATTATATCCAATGATAGTCTTTTAGAAATTAAGTGCCCCTACTCAGCGAGAAATACAACAATTAAAGAAGCAGTAGAAAGTCGGTTAATTGTGTATTTAAAAAGTTCAGGAGATGGATTTGAACTTAACAAAAATCATAATTATTTTTATCAAGTTCAAGGGCAACTCAATATCTGGGAAAAAACGACCTGTTACTTTGTAGTATGGACGTTACACGATTTTGTGTGCCTGAAAGTACATAAAGATGAATCTTTTTTTAAAAATATAATGTTAAAAAAATTAGAAATGTTTTATTACAATTGCCTACTACCAGAAATTATTGATCCAAGACACCCCCGAAGTATGAAAATCAGAGATCCTCAGTACATATTAGATGCCCAGGAAAAATGCGCAGAAAGGAAAAACAGTCAAGAAGGAAAGAGAAAAATCCAAACCAGTAAACCAGATCACAAAATTAAGAAGCAGAAAGTCCTTGAAAATCCTAAAACACAACAGCTTCCAGACGACTTATCCCATTAAAAAGTGTGATACATAATATGAAAGTACCTGTGGTGGTTAATATAGTAATGTTTAAACAAAAACTGGTTTTTGAAAATTATGTATTCTAAATTATTCATAGTGGGATTTTTCTTATTTTCTTCTTCATTTTTTGAAAATGAACTTAAATTTACATTTTTAGAAATGTAAGTCTTGCTATACCTTTGAAATTTGTATTATATATAGAATTAATAGTTAGTACTATACTATACTTTGTATGAGATCAGTGTTAATATTTGCTAGAGTAATTTTTTATTTGTGTACTTATTAACAATATTGTAAAATGTTTCTCTGGCAAAAATGTAATCGACATGTACAATATTTATACATACTGCTGTATAGGTATTTTAATTGTTAATAAAATTCTCCGAATATTTTTATCCATTTAATTGAAAACTATATTTTTGCAACATTTTTTATCATAGTACGTAATAATTACATGTTAATCTACATGTCTAGTGTTATACTGTTCAAAATTATTTAATACAACTGAAACTGAAGATCCTGTTGACTCTACATTTTTCTATAATTTGTTTTAATTTTGTTTTGTTTGTTAAAAGTTTGATTTAATAATATAATAAAATTATGCCACAATTACCTAGCTATTATTTTTCTAAAGTACTAGAATTTTTTGGAAGAAAATTAATGACTTACGATTTATCTTCACTCCAGTGCAAATAACTAACGAAAATTTTGATATAAAATATCACTGCGAGAGTGTTTGTGCAACAAGAGGAGCGTCGATCACAATGGAAAAAACCGCTATCAATTCAACGGCCGAGGCATTCGCCCCGACGTTTAAAAGCCGCTACAGGTTTTATTATTAAAAATAGACCACGTATTAATTGAGACAAAATGCAGCTCATTAAATTCCACAGTTTTGAAAAAAAAAAACATTTAAATAGCTCTTTGCATAAGAAAGTTATGGCAAGGTGAGTTAATTTTTGTTTGTCAATTTGTTATCTTTTTTTAAATTATACTGTTTTTTCATATAGTTTACAACATTTTTGCAAAAAACAAATACACCAAAAAAAAGTAAATTGAATAAGGAATAAAACAAAAAAGTTGTTTTTTTAACTATTTTAGCAAAAAAGTTAAAAAGTTAAGTGTTCAAAGTTAACAAAAAAAAGTTTTTTTTCTGTTTTTTTGCCTATATCTTTTGTTTTGTCCAATAAAGATGCTCATCAATTTCCATTTTCAATGTAATAAAACATATTTTTTCAAATAGTAAAGGTCAAATTTGGTTATACCTCAGTTTTTTTATGCATCCTAGACCGGGCTTTCCGTCCTACTATAGAAACGTTAAAATTATATTTGCAATCGCGCGAAGTACATTTTGGGCTGGATGCTTTTTACACCTTTCCGAATAAAGGAGCCACGCCTCCGAGACTGGTTTTAGAATTTCAGGTTATGTCAGCATCGGCAAAGTGTTTCTCGGTAGCGGACTCTTAAGTATAAACAACGTCCCTTCCCAGAAGGCCCCGATAAAGTGATAATCTGTCCGCGGCAATAAAACGGTTGGGAAGCACTGATCTAACAGACATTTGAATTAGCGGGCGTTGAGTGTAACGATTACAACGTTGCCAAGTTGTAATCACAATACGCCACTATGCGTCGACTGCTTTAAGAACATTTTTATTTTAAAAATCTATATTTCTTTATCAAAACGGTAAAAAAATTTAGCGTTTTTTTAAAAAATTTTTATAACTTCTTGATTTACATTACATTAGTTTTTAAAAAATATGGTAAGAACCGTTTTCGAGATATCTTGAAATAAATACAATGATTGTGTACATGACAGCGCTTCAAGAGTGTTAATTATGCATATTTTGATTGTTAATATCTCGTTTTACAGACGATCAAAAATTTTTATTTTTTTTAGCTACATAAAAGACACTTCAATTTTATTGAATTCTTAAGAAAGGCCGTTTCACGAGTGAATAACCTTAAGGCGAAATTTTTAAAATAGAATTCAATTTTCCCCCAATTTTCATTTTTGGGCAGTGACGTCATTGACAATTTTTTTAAATAGTAACCCCAATTTTTTTTTCTTGATGATGATAGATCTTGCAATTTTCTACTCGGAAACACAATATTTGAAATATCTTACAAAACAATTTTTTTTTTAATAAAAGTCATTTAAAGATCAGACACATAAATTTTATTTTATTTTAAGAACACAATAAATGAATAAAAGATAATTATTTGTAATTAAGTGCTTGATCTAACAAAATATTAGTAATAATAATAATAATAATAATAATAATAATAATAATAATAATAATAATAATAATAATAATAATAATAATAATAATAATAATAATAATAATAATAATAATAATAATAATAATAATAATAATAATAATAATAATAATAATAATAATAATAATAATAATAATAATAATAATAATAATAATAATAATAATAATAATAATAATAATAATAATAATAATAATAATAATAATAATAATAATAATAATAATAATAATAATAATAATAATAATAATAATAATAATAATAATAATAATAATAATAATAATAATAATAATAATAATAATAATAATAATAATAATAATAATAATAATAATAATAATAATAATAATAATAATAATAATAATAATAATAATAATAATAATAATAATAATAATAATAATAATAATAATAATAATAATAATAATAATAATAATAATAATAATAATAATAATAATAATAATAATAATAATAATAATAATAATAATAATAATAATAATAATAATAATAATAATAATAATAATAATAATAATAATAATAATAATAATAATAATAATAATAATAATAATAATAATAATAATAATAATAATAATAATAATAATAATAATAATAATAATAATAATAATAATAATAATAATAATAATAATAATAATAATAATAATAATAATAATAATAATAATAATAATAATAATAATAATAATAATAATAATAATAATAATAATAATAATAATAATAATAATATAATAATAATAATAATAATAATAATAATAATAATAATAATATTAATAATAATAATAATAATAATAATAATAATAATAATATAATAATAATAATAATAATAATAATAATAATAATAATAATAATAATAATAATAATAATAATAATAATAATAATAATAATAATAATAATAATAATAATAATAATAATAATAATAATAATAATAATAATAATAATAATAATAATAATAATAATAATAATAATAATAATAATAATAATAATAATAATAATAATAATAATAATAATAATAATAATAATAATAATAATAATAATAATAATAATAATAATAATAATAATAATAATAATAATAATAATAATAATAATAATAATAATAATAATAATAATAATAATAATAATAATAATAATAATAATAATAATAATAATAATAATAATAATAATAATAATAATAATAATAATAATAATAATAATAATAATAATAATAATAATAATAATAATAATAATAATAATAATAATAATAATATAATAATAATAATAATAATAATAATAATAATAATAATAATAATAATAATAATAATAATAATAATAATAATAATAATAATAATAATAATAATAATAATAATAATAATAATAATAATAATAATAATAATAATAATAATAATAATAATAATAATAATAATAATAATAATAATAATAATAATAATAATAATAATAATAATAATAATAATAATAATAATAATAATAATAATAATAATAATAATAATAATAATAATAATAATAATAATAATAATAATAATAATAATAATAATAATAATAATAATAATAATAATAATAATAATAATAATAATAATAATAATAATAATAATAATAATAATAATAATAATATAATAATAATAATAATAATAATAATAATAATAATAATAATAATAATAATAATAATAATAATAATAATAATAATAATAATAATAATAATAATAATAATAATAATAATAATAATAATAATAATAATAATAATAATAATAATACTCATACTCATACTGTTTATTGACATTTAACATGTACAAAATTGGGTACATTTTTAGTCAGTGGAAATCTTACATAGCTAAAATATTATATTATAAAACCTAAATTAGTAAGATATAAAATATTATGTATAATGTAAAATAAAATAATAAGACTAACAAATAGGACAAAATATAAAATATAAAAGGTAAACATTCAATAAAATAAAATACAAAAGGATTATAGGTACTTGTTAAAATGTTATTGTGAACAGTGATTAGCGATTTTATCATATTAATGGTTCAAATATTCGTTTATAGAATAGAAACAGTGTTCTAGTAAGTAAGTTTTTGCTAACTTTGAGAATGTAAAATTTCCCATGTTTTTAAAATCTTTATTTTTAAATTTATTTACAAATATATTGTATACGTTCACATTGATTTTGTTGTTTTTTGTTGTTGCGAGTCTTGAGTACTGAGGTATCATGTTATGTGCATTACGTGTACCATATTTGTGCATATCAGAGTGTAGTATATATGAGGATTTATTTTTATGTATTTCTAATAGCGTCTCATAAATGTACATTGTAGGCAATGGCATTATATTAAGTTTTTTAAACAAGGGGTGACAGTGAGTTCCAAAAGGAACTCTGGCCAAGATACGTATTGCCTTTTTTTGAATACTAAATGCCTTATATGAATGAGTGGAATTACCCCAAAGCAATATTGCGTATTTTAGATGACTGTGTACTAAAGAGAAATACACTGATTTCAATACCTCAGTGCTCAAGCAGCCCTGCAGTCTTCGCATAACAAATATTTGTGAAGCCAATGTTTTACACACTTTGTCTATATGTGGCTTCCAGTTTAAAATCGAGTCCAAGTCAACTCCTAGGAGGCAAACAGGTTTTGACTGCGTAGCCCACTTGTCCATATTAAAAGTAATATGCTGAGTTTTTGACTCATTTAGGCTTAGAAAATTACTAGCAAACCAGTTTTTAGCTTTCTGGTACTCCCGCTCGATATCAAAATCCCTGCCATTCGACATGATGGTGGTATCATCAGCAAACAGGATGCAATTTCCGCCCAAAGCTGCTGGTAGGTCATTTATATAAATAATAAATAGAATGGGGCCCAAAACAGATCCTTGTGGAACTCCATTATGAATTGGCAATAGATTAGAATTTATATTATTTGCACTGACACATTGCATCCGGTTTGTGAGATAAGAACTAATTAGTGCTAGCTGTTTGCCCCTTACTCCATAAAATTCTAATTTTTCTAATAATATCTTAGTCGAAACACAATCAAAAGCTTTTGAAAGATCACACATGATTGCGTTTGAGCTTAGTCTATGATCTATATTGTCCGATATTTTTTGCACTAGATTAACGAGTGCTTTTACTGTAGATTTGTTTCTACGAAACCCGTATTGGGAGTCGGATAGCAAGGATTTACTTTCAAAATAAGATACTAGCTTATCCTTAATTAGTATTTCAAATATTTTGCCTATTGCAGGTACGATCGCAATCGGTCTGTAGTTATCTGGTTCATCTCTAGCACCTTTCTTATGAACCGGAATAATTTTAGATACCTTTAGGGCATCAGGCCATGTACCCTCCTCAAGACATTTGTTAAACAAAATTGTGAGACCTGGTGTCCCAATAACTTCACCGGTTGAGATACATTTATTAATTTGTCAGAGGTAAATGTAATCTGTGTGGTTTTTGATTCATTAAGTTGGAGTTTATTTGAAGAAAACCACTGCTTGGCTTTTAAAATATGTTCGTCTTTGTAAAATTTTCCAACTCTTGAAGTAATCGTAGTATCATCCGCAAACATGAAGACTGAACCTGAATCAAATGCTGTTGGTAAATCATTTATATACAAAAGAAACAAAATGGGACCCAAAACAGATCCCTGAGGTACACCAATATTTATAGTTAAAACGTTAGACTCGCCATTTGCATAACTAACGAACTGCCTTCTATCCGTTAAATAAGATTTTAATAGGAGTTGAAATTTTCCCCTTATACCATAGAATTCAAGTTTGTATAACAAGAGCTCGATATTGACACAGTCAAAGGCTTTAGTCAGATCGCACATGGTAGCCATAGTACTGTATCTGTCATCTAATCCCTCGACAATATCCCCAACGAGATCTGTAAGTGCCTTTATAGTTGATTTGTTTTTCCTAAATCCATATTGATTAGCTGTTAGTAATAGTTTATTTTCAAGATAAGAGATCATTTTTTCTTTTAGTATAATTTCAAATATTTTTGACACAATTGGTATGATAGCAATAGGTCGATAATTGCCTGGGCAGTCGATGTCACCTTTTTTATGTATTGGCAGCAACTTTGAGATACTTAGTTGTTCTGGCCAGTTACCCTCTTCGACACATTTACCAAACAGAATGGTAAGAGGTTTGATTAAAAATTCCTGCGCCGCTTTGATCATACGACTGTTAAGGCCATAATAATCCAAGCATACAGAAGTTTTAAGTTTTTGTATTGCCTGCCTCATATCATCCTCCAGTACTGGAGAAAGAAAGATAGAAAAAGATGGTTTTTCCTGTTTATTTAGATATTCTAGTGGAGTAATGTTCGGGTCTTCTATATTTTTTGTGATTGTGTCAGCTATGGTAGAAAAAAAAGTATTAAACTCATCCGCCGTCAATGAGGAAGCGATTGTGTCCCCTTTCATAGTGTTCCTTGTTGAATTAACTATGGACCAGATAGTTTTTGGTTTACAATCTGATGATTTAATGGCTTCGGAATATGCAGACTTCTTTGCTTCTCTTAGGGACTTTGAGTAACTTTTCCGTGCTTCAATATAGTGTCTCCAGTCAGACACAGAATTGGTAGATTTAAATCTCTTTCTAGTGCGTTGAAGTTTTTTCCTCAGAGTTTTTAACTCGTTATTAAACCACTTGACTCCAGTGCGATTTGTAGTATTTCTCAAAGGAAAACAATCATTCGCTGCCTGTGTCAGGTTTGTAAGTAGGAAATCTGTTATATCAGGAGATTTTAATTTTAAGAATGTTGGTTCGTCCCATTTCATTTCTTTTATACAATTTGTGAATTTGGCAATAGATTCCGCTGTAATTGACCGTTTTAGGCTTTTATTATTTCCTTTATTAACCTGATCGTATTCTATTCTTATATAGATCCCCAAATGATCAGCAATCATTGGATCGCATACCCCAGTCGAGAAATTTCGACAATCAGCGTTTGTTAAAACATTGTCAAGACAATTACGAGTTGTTGGCGTAATTCTCGTAGGGACATGTATATTATGCTCTAACCCAAACATATGTAATATATTATTAAAATTAATTATAAAATCTGACTTACAGTCAAAATCTAAGTTAAAATCACCTAATATTATTAAATTAGTATATTTGTTGAAGACAAATTCTAAAAGTTGAATAAAACAATCTTTAAATACTTCAACATCGCCATGACTAGATGAACGATAAACTGTTATAATTATGGTTTTTGTGCCGATTATTTGTGCTGCGCAAAATTCAGCATGAAAAGTTTGACAGAATTGTGAGATTTCAATTCTTTTTAAATGTATATTATTTTTTGTAAATATTGCTACTCCGCCGTGTAAGTTTGTTTCTCTACAAAATGAAGAAACAAGTTGATAGTTATTAATATTAAGCGATTTCAAATTAGAATCAGAGAGCCAATGTTCTGAAAAACAAAGAATATGAAACGGATTTAGTTCAAGGTAAGCAAGTAGCTCATCAATTTTGTTACTAAGACTCCGTACATTGATATGTAGAATTGAGTATTCTGATTTAACACTGTTGGTTGTTTGAGCTACTTTCTGACCTTCCTGTATCATTGTTAAATTGTTTATTGAGAAAAAACCGATTTACAAATTGATTAACAATCACATCGCTAGGCCATATTTCAGGATTCAACAGATTATCAGCTTGATAAAATGGAGCAGATATTTTAAAAGAAGCATATTTGCTTGGATTTCTGACATTTATTTTATGAACAATAACATCAGGAGCAAATTGTGACAAATATTTTTTCAGGTCTTCTCCTTCTACGCTTACTTCCATATTAGTAATGTGGAAATGTCTAAGATGTTTATTGGGAGCTGATTTAAAAGGACAGTTACCTGCATTTCCACCGTTTCCAACTAAAATATTTCTGGGTTTGACGTTCCTCCTGGATGTCTGTGAGAATGTCATGTTGTTCTCGGAGTTTATAATATCTTCGCAAATTCGTGAACCCTGTGCTTTATGTATAGCAGCTCTGATTTCTTGTGGCTTGATCAAGTTAACGGTGGCTTGCGGTGGCACGTCTCCTGAATATTTTTCTTCGCTCTTTTTGGTGTGTCCTGAGATTGCTGCAGTCTGATGGCTGATTAACGAAGTTTCCAATGTTGCCTTGTTGTTGAAAATTTCATTTACCCTCTTCATGAGTGATATTTGTTCTTGCAATGACTGTATAGAGATGTTTTGGAATTTAATTGTGTCATCCTTTTCTTTAATGATCTTTTCTAAATAAGTCATCCTTTCCATTAATATTTTATTTTCTATATTATCTTCGCGACCATCTTGAGCCTTGTTGTCAATGGTAGTATTAGATTGAATTTGACTATTTCCTACTGCTCCTATTGTAGCGTCAGAACAGCAAATGCAAGTGCAATCATCAATAAATTGGGCTTTTATATATTTTAAGCAGCTTTTGTGCGACAGAGTGCCACATCTCACACATCTTAATCCTGTACCAACTGGCTTACTACATCTTATGCAAATTTTACTAATTTCTTCAACGTTTATTGAATTCTCAGCCATTATTAATTATTAAAATCGATAACAAACTTTAATCTAATTTTAAAATAATTTCACTAATACTGTTACCGTGGTGGAATAGAATTCGGACCACACAGCAAAAACACAGCAAAAACACTTGTAGCTATTTGGAATTTTGTCGGAATTATGTAGATATATCGATGAAAGTTGATATAAAAATGGGTTTTTGTATTTGCTAACAATAACTTGTACTCACTGTTGGTTATAGAATACACTACTGCACTTTTTAAAATTAAATAATAAGTGTTTTAACTACTTTGATAGAAACTTATAAGAGAGTTTATTAACACGTGTTTGCACTAACAACAATTCCACTATGTATAATAATAATAATAATAATAATAATAATAATAATAATAATAATAATAATAATAATAATAATAATAATAATAATAATAATAATAATAATAATAATAATAATAATAATAATAATAATAATAATAATAATAATAATAATAATAATAATAATAATAATAATAATAATAATAATAATAATAATAATAATAATAATAATAATAATAATAATAATAATAATAATAATAATAATAATAATAATAATAATAATAATAATAAAAATAATAATAATAATAATAATAATAATAATAATAATAATAATAATAATAATAATAATAATAATAATAATAATAATAATAATAATAATAATAATAATAATAATAATAATAATAATAATAATAATAATAATAATAATAATAATAATAATAATAATAATAATAATAATAATAATAATAATAATAATAATAATAATAATAATAATAATAATAATAATAATAATAATAATAATAATAATAATAATAATAATAATAATAATAATAATAATAATAATAATAATAATAATAATAATAATAATAATAATAATAATAATAATAATAATAATAATAATAATAATAATAATAATAATAATAATAATAATAATAATAATAATAATAATAATAATAATAATAATAATAATAATAATAATAATAATAATAATAATAATAATAATAATAATAATAATAATAATAATAATAATAATAATAATAATAATAATAATAATAATAATAATAATAATAATAATAATAATAATAATAATAATAATAATAATAATAATAATAATAATAATAATAATAATAATAATAATAATAATAATAATAATAATAATAATAATAATAATAATAATAATAATAATAATAATAATAATAATAATAATAATAATAATAATAATAATAATAATAATAATAATAATAATAATAATATTAATAATAATAATAATAATAATAATAATAATAATAATAATAATAATAATAATAATAATAATAATAATAATAATAATAATAATAATAATAATAATAATAATAATAATAATAATAATAATAATAATAATAATAATAATAATAATAATAATAGTAATAATAATAATAATAATAATAATAGTAATAATAATAGTAATAATAATAATAATAATAATAATAATAATAATAATAATAATAATAATAATAATAATAATAATAATAATAATAATAATAATAATAATAATAATAATAATAATAATAATAATAATAATAATAATAATAATAATAATAATAATAATAATAATAATAATAATAATAATAATAATAATAATAATAATAATAATAATAATAATAATAATAATAATAATAATAATAATAATAATAATAATAATAATAATAATAATAATAATAATAATAATAATAATAATAATAATAATAATAATAATAATAATAATAATAATAATAATAATAATAATAATAATAATAATAATAATAATAATAATAATAATAATAATAATAATAATAATAATAATAATAATAATAATAATAATAATAATAATAATAATAATAATAATAATAATAATAATAATAATAATAATAATAATAATAATAATAATAATAATAATAATAATAATAATAATAATAATAATAATAATAATAATAATAATAATAATAATAATAATAATAATAATAATAATAATAATAATAATAATAATAATAATAATAATAATAATAATAATAATAATAATAATAATAATAATAATAATAATAATAATAATAATAATAATAATAATAATAATAATAATAATAATAATAATAATAATAATAATAATAATAATAATAATAATAATAATAATAATAATAATAATAATAATAATAATAATAATAATAATAATAATAATAATAATAATAATAATAATAATAATAATAATAATAATAATAATAATAATAATAATAATAATAATAATAATAATAATAATAATAATAATAATAATAATAATAATAATAATAATAATAATAATAATAATAATAATAATAATAATAATAATAATAATAATAATAATAATAATAATAATAATAATAATAATAATAATAATAATAATAATAATAATAATAATAATAATAATAATAATAATAATAATAATAATAATAATAATAATAATAATAATAATAATAATAATAATAATAATAATAATAATAATAATAATAATAATAATAATAATAATAATAATAATAATAATAATAATAATAATAATAATAATAATAATAATAATAATAATAATAATAATAATAATAATAATAATAATAATAATAATAATAATAATAATAATAATAATAATAATAATAATAATAATAATAATAATAATAATAATAATAATAATAATAATAATAATAATAATAATAATAATAATAATAATAATAATAATAATAATAATAATAATAATAATAATAATAATAATAATAATAATAATAATAATAATAATAATAATAATAATAATAATAATAATAATAATAATAATAATAATAATAATAATAATAATAATAATAATAATAATAATAATAATAATAATAATAATAATAATAATAATAATAATAATAATAATAATAATAATAATAATAATAATAATAATAATAATAATAATAATAATAATAATAATAATAATAATAATAATAATAATAATAATAATAATAATAATAATAATAATAATAATAATAATAATAATAATAATAATAATAATAATAATAATAATAATAATAATAATAATAATAATAATAATAATAATAATAATAATAATAATAATAATAATAATAATAATAATAATAATAATAATAATAATAATAATAATAATAATAATAATAATAATAATAATAATAATAATAATAATAATAATAATAATAATAATAATAATAATAATAATAATTAATAATAATAATAATAATAATAATAATAATTAATAATAATAATAATAATAATAATAATAATAATAATAATAATAATAATAATAATAATAATAATAATAATAATAATAATAATAATAATAATAATAATAATAATAATAATAATAATAATAATAATAAATAATAATAATAATAATAATAATAATAATAATAATAATAATAATAATAATAATAATAATAATAATAATAATAATAATAATAATAATAATAATAATAATAATAATAATAATAATAATAATAATAATAATAATAATAATAATAATAATAATAATAATAATAATAATAATAATAATAATAATAATAATAATAATAATAATAATAATAATAATAATAATAATAATAATAATAATAATAATAATAATAATAATAATAATAATAATAATAATAATAATAATAATAATAATAATAATAATAATAATAATAATATTAATAATAATAATAATAATAATAATAATATTAATAGATAGATAGATAGATAGAAGGTTTATTGACCACTTTACATACTTTACGGGTACATTTGAAGTCAGGTTACAAAAATAATTAAAATTACATTTTACAATAGACATTAAAATTAAAATTTAGAGTTATAATAGTCATTAACATAAAAATATAACATTGAAGCACAAAATTTAACGTTTCAGTAATATTAGTTACCTACTAAATTACAATAATATTTTAAACATTGACATGAACCTATATGCTATATGAGAAACATGACAACAATAAAACAATAATAAAAAAACACAACTTACAAATTAAAAAAGTATAAAAAAATAATATTAATAATATTAAATATGTTACTGTAATTCTTCAATAAAATGTTCAATACTATAAAAGCAGTAATTTAATAAAAATGTTTTTGTAAATTTTTTAAATTGATTTTCTGTCATTGAGTCAAAATTTACATGAATAAAAAATTTTCTAAAATAATTGTACAGAGAAATGTTAAGAGTGTTATTCTTAGTCATTTTAATTCTACATCTATTAATTACAAAATCTTTACAATTTCTTGTCATAATTGTGTATATCTCTGTGACGACTTAAGCTATCTACATTTTTGTGTGTTTCAATCAATGTTTCCATTATATAGACACAAGGGAGAGGCAGTATTTCCAGTTTTTTAAAAAGAGATTGACAAGGAGTGTTTTTAGGAGCATTACTAATTAATCTTACTACCGCTTTCTGCAAAGAAAATACTTTGTGTACATTGACTGAGTTACCCCACAGTAACACACCATAAGATATGTTACTGTGAAATAGCGCATAGTAAATAGACCGTAGTAAGTGATCAGGCATACAGTATTTCAGTTGTCGAATAATAAAAATTTGAGTCGCCAATTTGGAACAGAGATTGTTTACATGAGATGTCCAGTTTAAGTTTGTATCCAAATGTATGCCTAATAATTTTACAGGATCCGATATTGACGCCCATTTGTCCGAGCTGAACAACAAATGACTGGTTTTTGCATTATTTAGTTGCAATCGATTTGCTGAGAACCAGTCTCTGATTACGTCAGAACTATCCATCTCATTGGGATTTGACAGGATCGTGGTGTCGTCAGCGAATAGGATGCAAAACTCCTTAATAGCTCCTGGTAGATCATTTATATAAATAATAAACAAAATGGGTCCCAATATCGAACCCTGAGGCACTCCACTTGATATTGGCAGAATGTCTGACTGTTTATTATCGCAGACAACGTATTGAACTCTATTTTTTAAATACGAAGCAAAAAGTTTATGTTCTCTTCCTCGAATCCCGTAAAATTCTAATTTTTGTAACAAGATCTCTGTAGGCACGCAATCAAAGGCTTTCGTTAAATCGTACATTGTAGCCATTGTACTTAAGCCTTCGTCTAGGTTTTGAACTACCTCTTCTAAGAGATTGATTAGAGCACGAATGGTGGATTTGTTTTTCCGATAACCAAACTGACAATCTGTTAATAGTGACTTCAATTCAAGATAAGAAATCAGTTTTTCTTTAATGATAAGTTCAAAAACTTTATTAATAGTTGGCAAGATTGCAATTGGTCTGAAATTGCCAGGCGAGTCCTTGTTACTTTTTTTGTGTAATGGTAGAATTTTAGCGATTTTTAAAATATCTGGCCAACAGCCTTCATCCACGCACTTATTAAAAAATAAAGTAAGCGGAGGAACTAAAAAGTTGGCAGATTGTTTAATCATTCTGCTATTTATGTTATAGTAGTCCAAACAAGTCGAATTACTTAATTTTAAAATCGCTTGATATACATCAGCCTCTAAAATAGCACTCATAAAGAAAGAGAAAGACGGTTTTGTTAATTTATTTAAGTAAAACGTTGAATCATGTTTAGAATTTTCTATGGACTTTAAGATAGTATCAGATATGGTTATAAAGAATTGATTAAACGTCTCCGGACAAATTTCTGAGCAAACTGATTTTTGTTTTACTGATTTTCGTTCAGAATTTATAATTTTCCAAAAAGATTTAACTTTATTATCTGAATTGGTAATGATATCTGCATATGCTGTTTTCTTTTCGTCTTTAATAGCCTTTTGATAACTTTTGTTTAGAATTTTATATTCGCACCAGTCAGATTCAGATTTTGTAAGTTTGAATGTACTTTTAGCATTACTAACTTCTTTTCTCATGTCACGTAACTTGCTGTTAAACCATTTTACTTCTTGATTCTTTGCTTTAACTCTTTTTTCTGGAAAGCATAAATCGATGTTTTGCTTTAAAATGCTCAATATAGACGTTCCCAGTTCTGAGGCGTTTAGGTCATCAAAAATTGAAGTATCCCAGGAAATCAGTGACAGAGAGTTCACAAAATTAGTCATGCCTTTGTTATTAATAATCCGTTTGGAACTATTAACCTCTACGTTATTTCTGCCTTCTGGCATAGTAACAAAAATATACTGACCATTATGGTCAGATATATGTGGGTCTACCGTTCCTACTTTTATAATATCTTGATCAAGGTTTGTAACGATGTTATCTAAACATGATTCACTGTTTAAAACTGATCTAGTAGGTTCGTTAATCTTATAATACAATCCGAATGACAAAAAAATTTCACAAATAGTTTTGGCGTTGTTCCCATTCTCAGGAAAATCTAAGTTAAAGTCGCCCATCAATATAATATTGCTATATTTTCTATATAAGTATTCAAGGAGCTTGATTAATTGATCTTTAAAAATATTAAAATTGTCTCTACTAGAAGATCTATAGACAGCAATTAAAACAGTTGAACAGTTATTTACTTCAGCTCCACAGAACTCGGCATCATAAATAATTGAGAATTTACTCAAATCTATTGGTTTACATTTAATATTTGGTTTTGAAAATATTGCCACTCCCCCATGCTGCTTAGTGCATCGAGTGAAGTCAGACACTAATACATAGTCATTTATTTTTATTACATCTAAACAGGATTTATTGAGCCAATGCTCTGAAAAACAAATTACATCAAATAAAATATCGTAAAAAAAATGTTGATAATTCGTGGCATTTATTTGCGAGACTCCGAACATTTAAGTGAAAAATAGAAAAATTATATGAACAATTAACACCATTACTTTTGGTTATTGAATTTCTCGGCGCGATTTCCGTGAAATCTTCTCGATGGAAAAAACTCATTGATGATTACACCACTTGGCCACAATTCTGGTTGTAAAATTTTTTCAATATCCGCAGCAGGAACTGATATTTTAAAAGATGCATAATCGAGAGGGTATCTTGCATTCAATTTTTCGACTCTTATAGCTGGTAGAATACTTTGCAGATATTTTGACAGTTCATCTTCCACGGTGTTGGGATCCCACTTAGTAGAGTGCAGATATTTCATTTCTGGTGTGATTGATGCCTTTAGGTTAAAACTTGAGTCAGCATTCATATTTCCAGTCAACAACTTTTTTGTTAGTTTTTTAGCTTTCAGATTGTAAAACTCGCTATGAGAGGTGGAGTCTTTGTTCATATGAATTAAATTATGGCATGTATTTGATGCGTGAGCATTGGCAATAGCGGACGATACTACCGTGCTGGTGAAAGCAGGTTTTGATGAATTTCCTTGAGGTTCGTGAATTGCCGTGTTACGATTATTTGGATGAAAAACGGTTGGCTGAGATTCCGCTTTATTTATTTTTGTGGACGTGTTCACAATAGATCCTTGTTTCAGCAAATCAACTTGGCTTTGTAATGACCTAATAGCAATTTCTTGATTGTATACAATCATATCTTTGTTTCTTATAATCTCTTCAAGAAATTTTACTTTCATTTCTAATTCAGAAATTGAATATGATGGCTTATGACTTACAGATGGTGGTATTTGTTCGCTGGAATTGTCTGAGCAACAATTACATGTGTTATCATCAATTATTACAGCATGTTTTACAGATTTTAAGCAACTAGGATGCGATACAACTCCACAAATAACACATGTTAGTCCTGTAGTAACGCTCTTCTTACATCTCTTGCATTTATTATCACCCATTTTGCACAAAATAATTAACAGAAATCACAAAATAAACAGCAAATATCCAACAAGAATTTGTTAAATTTCTAACCGTGGTGGAATATTTTCGTCAAGATAGACAAAAAGTGGTCGAAATAATGGTCAAAATAATGTATACAGATAAAAATAGTGTACCTGTGGTATCTTCAAATGCAGTTTTTCGGCTTAATACACAGTTATTTCACAAACCCACATTTGTACAAACTGTTTATGCACCACAGTTGCACTAGTTCACTTTAAAACAAATTAATACTTATTTAAATCAGCGTTTTAGGCTTATTAACGTTAGAGGTTTTAAAAGCACTTGTTATATGGTAGAATATTCCACCAGAATCAAATAATAATAATAATAATAATAATAATAATAATAATAATAATAATAATAATAATAATAATAATAATAATAATAATAATAATAATAATAATAATAATAATAATAATAATAATAATAATAATAATAATAATAATAATAATAATAATAATAATAATAATAATAATAATAATAATAATAATAATAATAATAATAATAATAATAATAATAATAATAATAATAATAATAATAATAATAATAATAATAATAATAATAATAATAATAATAATAATAATAATAATAATAATAATAATAATAATAATAATAATAATAATAATAATAATAATAATAATAATAATAATAATAATAATAATAATAATAATAATAATAATAATAATAATAATAATAATAATAATAATAATAATAATAATAATAATAATAATAATAATAATAATAATAATAATAATAATAATAATAATAATAATAATAATAATAATAATAATAATAATAATAATAATAATAATAATAATAATAATAATAATAATAATAATAATAATAATAATAATAATAATAATAATAATAATAATAATAATAATAATAATAATAATAATAATAATAATAATAATAATAATAATAATAATAATAATAATAATAATAATAATAATAATAATAATAATAATAATAATAATAATAATAATAATAATAATAATAATAATAATAATAATAATAATAATAATAATAATAATAATAATAATAATAATAATAATAATAATAATAATAATAATAATAATAATAATAATAATAATAATAATAATAATAATAATAATAATAATAATAATAATAATAATAATAATAATAATAATAATAATAATAATAATAATAATAATAATAATAATAATAATAATAATAATAATAATAATAATAATAATAATAATAATAATAATAATAATAATAATAATAATAATAATAATAATAATAATAATAATAATAATAATAATAATAATAATAATAATAATAATAATAATAATAATAATAATAATAATAATAATAATAATAATAATAATAATAATAATAATAATAATAATAATAATAATAATAATAATAATAATAATAATAATAATAATAATAATAATAATAATAATAATAATAATAATAATAATAATAATAATAATAATAATAATAATAATAATAATAATAATAATAATAATAATAATAATAATAATAATAATAATAATAATAATAATAATAATAATAATAATAATAATAATAATAATAATAATAATAATAATAATAATAATAATAATAATAATAATAATAATAATAATAATAATAATAATAATAATAATAATAATAATAATAATAATAATAATAATAATAATAATAATAATAATAATAATAATAATAATAATAATAATAATAATAATAATAATAATAATAATAATAATAATAATAATAATAATAATAATAATAATAATAATAATAATAATAATAATAATAATAATAATAATAATAATAATAATAATAATAATAATAATAATAATAATAATAATAATAATAATAATAATAATAATAATAATAATAATAATAATAATAATAATAATAATAATAATAATAATAATAATAATAATAATAATAATAATAATAATAATAATAATAATAATAATAATAATAATAATAATAATAATAATAATAATAATAATAATAATAATAATAATAATAATAATAATAATAATAATAATAATAATAATAATAATAATAATAATAATAATAATAATAATAATAATAATAATAATAATAATATTAATAATAATTAATAATAGAAGAAAGCAGAAAAAAAGCTAATCAAATACGGCGACGTTTGACCAGGGCAAGAACTAACAACGCGAACGCAACTGTACAAGAGATTGAAAACTTAGAAAGGTCACTGAAGAATAGCCGGAAAACACTAAGGAAGCAAATAACCAAATCCAAAAGGGATTGCTGGAGAAATCTTTGCACAGATTTAGAAAATGACATCTGGGGGGAGGGTTACAGAATTGTCGTAAAGAGGCTAAAAAAACCAGAGGCTCCTTATAGCTTGTTGGACGAAGAAAAAAGATCAATAATAAGAAGACTGTTCCCCATTAGCGACGAGGTACACGAAATCAGAGCTCCTGATGAGAACATAAATCTTTTTACCGAATCTGAAATTCAAAGGGCAGGTGAGATTTTAAAAGCCAGAAAAGCGCCGGGACCTGACGGCATAATTTCAGAAAGCGTTAAAGAGGTTATAAAATGGGATTGCGAACTGGTCAAAGAAATTAAGAACATCATACTAAAAAACCAAGACCTGCCTAAGGCGTGGAAAACAACCAAGGTCATACTCATTCCAAAAGGGAAAGTAGATAGCGAAGGAAAACCAACTTTCCGACCAATCTGTCTCATAGACACGTTTGGTAAATTATTCGAAATAATGATTAGAGATAGATTGGAAGAAGAGTTGAGGGAAAAAGGAGGACTCTCTGAAAGACAGTTTGGATTTCGGAAGGAAAAATCTACCATACAGGCCTTGGAATATGTGACCGAAAAACTTAAAAATGGGAAATGGTCCTCTCTAATCGCCATAGATGTCCAAAATGCATTTAATACCGCCTCTTGGGGGAGAATTATTCATAGGCTAGAAGAAATCGGTATAAGTAATTATATCATTCGACTGGTAGAAGACTACTTTAAAGATAGAAAGCTTTTAATCACCAAACAAGAGATGCTGGATGTATACATGGGAGTTCCGCAGGGGTCAGTTATCGGCCCTACACTGTGGAATGTAATGTATAATACAGTGTTAGAAATGCAACTACCAGAAGGTTGTTACTCAGCGGGTTATGCCGACGATTTTGCTCTTATTATAACAGCAAATACATCACAGCAGTTGATAACTAAAGCAAATGAATCTTTACAACGGATCGCAGAATGGATGCAAAATAATAATTTAAAGGTGGCCCCCGAAAAGACCGAAGCTATCATAGTAAATGGTAAACGAGATAGAAGACTTGTCACTTTCCAGATGGAAAATACAACTATAAACCCTGTTAGTAACATGAAATATCTCGGTATCTGGATTGATGACAGGCTGAACTATAAAGCACACGTAGAAAAGGTAGTAGAAAAGTCAAACAAAGTAGCAAGCAACCTTCAAAAAATAATGCCAAATGTTAATGGTCCAAGTTACTGTAAGAGACGTTTGCTAAATGGTGTATTTAATTCCACAGTGTTATATGGGGCATCAATCTGGCAAGGTGGATTACAGTTTGCGAAGTATAGAGATATGTTGGAAAAAACACAAAGAAAGATGTTGATAAAGATCTGCTCAGCATATAAAACGGTATCGACTAAAGCTCTCTAAGCCATTACGGGCGAACTACCTATGAGTCTGCTGGTGAGAGAAAGATCATTAAACTGGGAGTATAGAGAGGAAAATGAGACCGAAAGAAGACCTAGGATCAGAGCACAACTGATTAGAGAGTGGCAAGAGTCGTGGAACAGGGAGTCATCTGTGGCTCAATGGACTAAACGACTAATCCAAGACCTAGACTCATGGGTTGGATGCAAGCATCGTAAATTAAATTACCATTTGACACAGATGTTCTCAGGTCATGGAGTTTTTAAAAAATATGCCCATAGATTTAAAAAAAGTCGAACAGTCAATTGTCTCTACTGTGAAGATGAGGTAGATGATGTAGAACATACAATTTTTGAATGTGAAAAATGGAAAGAAAAAAGAGACAGGTTATTATATCAAATTGGCGTAGTTGCAACCCCAGAAAATATTGTCTCAAACATGATAAGGAACGAAAAAAACTGGTGGGCTGTAAATAGGTTCGTTACCGATATAATGTGCGAAAAAGAAGAAGATGAACGAAATTTTCAAATAAGAGAAAATATAAACAATATTTAGTCAGCGCCAGTCACTGAAGACGATATCAACTCAGATGGTTCCGGTGACTTGGTGTGTAGAGAGGGTGAGTGTTTAGTGGGTAGGGGTCCGGACCGAGTCCCACACAACCGTGCTGGGCATACAGACGGCGTGCGTAAAAGCATTTCAACAGCCTCAAAAAAAAAAAAAAAAAAAAAAAAATAATAATAATAATAATAATAATAATAATAATAATAATAATAAATAATAATAATAATAATAATAATAATAATAATAATAATAATAATAATATTATAATAATAATAATAATAATAATAATAATAATAATAATATAATAATAATATTAATAATAATAATAATAATAATAATAATAATAATAATAATAATAATAATAATAATAATAATAATAATAATAATAATAATAATAATAATAATAATAATAATAATAATAATAATAATAATAATAATAATAATAATAATAATAATAATAATAATAATAATAATAATAATAATAATAATAATAATAATAATAATAATAATAATAATAATAATAATAATAATAATAATAATAATAATAATAATAATAATAATAATAATAATAATAATAATAATAATAATAATAATAATAATAATAATAATAATAATAATAATAATAATAATAATAATAATAATAATAATAATAATAATAATAATAATAATAATAATAATAATAATAATAATAATAATAATAATAATAATAATAATAATAATAATAAT